GGGGGCATCCTTTCAGTGATGAATAATAACTGAAAATGATGCAAAAGACTTTCACTTTGTATAGCTATCACTGCCCTTTTTATTTGTTGGGGAATTCAAATAATTTACGTTTTTTAACCATCATCCAGTTGATTTTAGGAGCGTCTGAAGAACTGTTTGGACCCACCGATGAGCTTTATAATCCTGATCGACCTTGATAGTGATGCTGTGTCACTTGTAAACTCCTGACCCACACCCAAGAAAGAGAACTTACCAAGAGGAAGTCTGAGTGACCTCTTCAACTTCATTATTCGTTCAGTGACATAACCCCACACTCAAAACAGGGACAAAAATACATCTTTCATAAAAGGGACCTTGAATGTTGGCAACTAGACTCGCCAACATTTATTCTTTCTTTTTTTTCCTTTTCTAAAAACAAATAATCCAGCAAATATTGCACAGTAAAAAAAGCAACATACAAGTGAAAATATCAGATATTTAAAAAGAAGAGTCATTAAAACTTTCTTTAGAAAAAGATGCAGACAAGATTCTTACTTTGGAGAAAGTGGTATGTGATTGGTTGTCGTATTTTTAGCATCTTCTTCCGTTTTGGCCCCAGAGAAACAGTCTTCTGTATAATGATCAATTGCAAAGTATGAAAAAGGGCTTCACACATGAGACTGCACATACATCTGCGTACAAACGAGTCCTGTTTCTGTCACCGTGGGACATTTTGGCAAATGATTAGAGACTTCAAATCCATAGCACACACACAACTCAACAACAGATTAATCCCGCCATTAAGGGAAGAACGTGCACGTAGTTCATCTGTGAGAAGTTAGAGATAGCCTCGTCAGAAGGCTTTTGCACACGGTAAGACCTGGATGGCGAGCACCCCGACCTATGATCCTATGAGGATGATCAGGCTCTAACTCATTTCACACAGCACAGCAGGCGTCGGTGCTGTCCTGTCAGCTGCATAGAGATCCAGAGTTGTGTCTCTTCTAAATATAAGGCCTAGAGATCCAGTGGGCGGGTAAAGGTGAATCCTCTCCTTGTTAGTTAAGTTTGGCACTAATGCGTATCCACTGAAGAGCCTGCCTGGTGTATTGGACTGCGTGAGCGATGCTACTGTGAAGAGTCAATGGCCCAGACAAAGTATTCAAGTAGTTGAAGAACTCTGTAATGAAAAAGGGAGATTGAAGTTCAAACAGATTCACTTCACATGTAAATCTGTGCAAAACATTCGTCTGTGTGTCTCAGAGGAGCTTCCATACCTTTATTCTCCTTTGCGAGGTTGTCCGCCACCTCCCAGTACTCGTAGCTGTACAGGACACTGTTGGTGATGTTCAGGTGGTTTGCCGCCATCTGGTGGATACGTTGGGGGATGCTGATGAGAGAGGGTAAGGTGCTGCCCCCATGTGAACCCTGTCTGAGGTGTTTGGCATTGGGTGAGAGTGAAGACGGGGGTCCTCCTGTACCCCTGGGAGTTAAAAAAAAAAACACATGTACAACAGAGCGATGGCGGTCAATGAATGTTCAGTGGCTGCAGGAAGCAAATGAATTAAACAGAGAGCCTGTAATATAAAACTATTATCCACCTACTTCCCAGAGTCATTCCAGCCAGGCGGTGTAGAAGGCACTTTGGGAGAAGTCTGTAACGAAACGGTAAACAAAACTCAAAGTTGTCCAAGACCAAATGTTTATATTCTGCCCTAAAAAATGTCCAGAAATTAAAAAACGACAATAACACTTCCTGTAAATGTCACCTCAGACTTGTTGTGTTTAGACTAACCTTAAAGTAGTCGAGCAGAACTTTGGAGTATTTCAGTGCATGGTCCTTCTTTAAACGAAACATTTGCCAGTAAAGGAGGGCAAGGCATCGGAAACTGTGGGCACACAAGCGCAAGTCAAAGAAACTCAGACGGACCACAAATCGTCCTCAAAGTGCAGGTCCCCCAGCCTGATGATAGATGTGGCATAAACAGAGGAGATGACATACGCACCACAGGACCGCCAGCTGTTTGTCTTCCTGTCTCGCCCCAGGGCCAGAGTGGCTCTTCAGCCTCATCGCGTACCTTAAGACACAGGACTATTAACAATGGAGCGGCAGTTATGTATATGTGTATGTGTCTGTGAGTGTGTGTTGGTCTTTATGTCCTAAATCCACATTACTTGTATATGTTTTTGCACAACTCACCTAATAAGCTCCACTGTCTCTGAGTACATGGTATACGGGGACTTCGCCTCTAGTGGCCCTTCCTCCATTGCTTTCCCGCATTCCATGAAGGAAAGAGCAGCGTCAATGTAATTCACAGCCTTCCCCAGCTTGTCCACCTAGAAAAAAGACATTAAACACAGGCAAAGATGGGAGTAAATATTAAAGGGATCCTTAAAGATTTCAGTCTGAAGTGTCTGAAACAAACAGGAGTTAGCTGAGAAGGTATTCAAACTGCACACAGGAGGAAACAGCTATATCCTAGTGCCATCAAAGGTGCTCTCTAACAACTGTGTGGCTCCGCTCTCCTCTTCATTCACATATGTTAAGTCTGCTGCCCTCACCTACGCCAGACTGGGTAGTGGGCAGCACAGTGGAAATGTTATGTTTGAACTTTAGTGTCTCCCTGCGCAAATATTTTTCTAATTTAGAGCAGACTGATCTTTAAAGATGCAACACACTGTTGGATGACAGCTAGCCAACAAGATATTACATGTATATAAAGTGATTTTGGAGTACTTTGAATGTGTATATTTTTACACTTTAGTCATTTCCCCCTGCTTCTGGTCTTTGTGCCAAGGACCCAGGTGTGTAGGTGTTATCATTGATATATTGCACCAATATAACAAAACCAAAAAAAATTGCATTTACCATTTCAAAAATAAATCTACAATAAGAGACTTCTTGTCTCAAGAAGATGCAAAAAAATGTACACATGAATTTATCTTGTATTTTTGTTTAACTTCTCTAATTGAAAGCCCTAAATAGTCTTGCACCACAGTACCTCTCTGACTTCACACAGATTGTATCTTCCCTGCAAACAAATGTGCTATGTAAATAAAGTTTTGTTTGCTTGCTTACACGTGATTTAAACTCACCATTGCGTCTGCACGGTGCTTTATCCTTTTGGCTTCATGTAAGTAGTACTCAGCA